GGCTTTTTATCCTCTATTTGTTCCTAGTGGGAAAACCAGGAGACTTAAGGCTAGTCTTGGTTTTGAATGCTTGGACCAGGGGCATCAGGATACAGATCTTGCATATGGAATCTCTTTATTCAATCACTTAAGCCATCAACAAGCTATAGGATGTTGTGCCTGGCAGAGGTGTTCCTTTACACTTGTACTTTCTCAAATGTCTTGCTTGCCATTCTAAAGTTCCCCTTTCAGTTGTTTATCTGCCCTTTGACCTCGCCACAGTCCTCGGTCATTTTCCAAATATCACATCCAGTTACTGCCTTCTTGAGTGAACAAGGCTTTAAGTATTATTCTATTTGTGGCAACATCCTGCTGATAGTTCAGCATGCTCATACTCTGGCAGTCCACAGGAACACCCTACATTAGGCACTGATCAAGTTTAACAGTGTTCCCCAACAGGGAAAGCTTATCCAGGTAGGGTGATGGCAATCATTTGACTGTAGCCCATCCATCCAGGGTTCTCTCTCTTGCAGACTCTGACCCTGGAATCTTCTACTCATCCTAAAAATTCAGACATTCTACAGTAGATAAAAACTTGAATTATTGCAGTCCTGAACAATCCACAAAACAGTTCGAATCATCACATAGAAGTTTTCAAATCCTTGGTAGAAGCAGAGATATGAGAAATGGAATTCCAGCATATATGAGATAGGGATTATATCAGCTGTGGAATAAAAAGTATATGTTTTTTGTTATTCACATTTGTTTTCAATGTTTGTTATGGCTTATAGTGTCTAGACCATTAGACCAAGAGTTTTTTCTGAAGAATTATTAGCACAGCGATTGTGCAACACAGGTGTTGTGGATAACACAAAATTGTTTTATCACTTTGTTTTAATTTCACAATTTATAACAATTTTATCACATTGTCGGTTGAGTGCTGAGGCTGCAGAAAAAGAAATTGAGGATTTGGTGTCCTCAATTTCTTTTTCTATTTCAAAAGGGAAATGTCAGGGGTCTGTTTAGACCCCAGACATTTCACCGTAGCCTCCCCAACAGTAAAAAAAAAAAAAATACAAAATTATCAAAAATAAATAAAAAATGTTTAAAAAAAATGTAAAACAAAATAAAATTATTTAAAAAAAAATAAAAAATGTGTAAAAAAAACTAATAAAAAAGCACAACCCCTCCCTCCCCCCACATAACACACACATATTGTGGTGCACACCATGCACATGCGCTGCAGTGCGTTGTTAGAACGCATCGCAGTGCATGATCTTTTTTATTTATTTTTTTTCTTTAAAAAAAAACATTAAATTAACTGTGGCAGCGCATGGCAAAGCTTTGTGACTCATTGCCATGCGTTGTGATACCTTGTGTTGCAATTAAATATACACCTGTATCATTTTATCACAACACAAACACCAAAACAATTTTTTACATAAGTCGATTATTTACAGTTTTGCATACCTTCATTTTTTTACCTTTTCGCAAAAAGGCGCAATTACAAATTTGCTAATATTTGTTATTTATTAACTCAATACAGTTTTATCTTTTAGATTTAGTCAGAAAATTATTTTTTTTGTGCACGGATACTGATTTTGGTGTGTTTTAACAATTGAATTGTGTATTTTTATCGGTTTAATATTAATTTGAGAAACATTTGCGCAATTATCGCAGGGCCTACAAATTTAGTATCACCATCTTTTTATTCTACCGGGCCTGCGCTTTCAGAAAATATATGGTTTGGGGGGTCTTTTACAAACGCTAGCAACGCAGCAGTTGAAAATCAAATCAATAGGAAAAAATTGCAGAAAATTCAAAAATGGCTTGGCCAGCTGATTTGAAAAATGTTCCGGAGGGCTTGGCAGCGAAAGGGTTAATACAGGATTTCTATATGTACACATTCTATGAGATGTACTAGCACAAGTTTATGTTTTTTGTTATTCCCATTTTTTTTCACTTTATTATGGCTTATAGTGTCTAGACCATTAGACCAAGAGTTTTTTCTGAAGTATTATTAGCACAGGCATTGTGCACACAGTTGTTGTGGATAACACAAAAATGTTTTATCACTTTGTGATAATTTCACAATTTATAAAATTTTTCTCACATTTTAGGAATATATTTTTTGAGTTTGTGAAGCGAAGTGCTTTTTTCCCCCCCTATTTTGGGTGTACTCGCCTATTAAGCACAGCTACTTTTAGAGTGTTATTTGATTCCTAGCACAGCTGTTTTCTATCTAACGTTCTACACTAGATGCTACATCCAAACACATCCTAAATTACCCTAAGCGGCTTGGAGGCTGGAAGTAAAGTCTGCCTTGCCTGGAATACTCATCTTCAGTCATAAACTGTTTGTTTGTATGCTAGAGCACATACTAAATGTCACATATTCTACTGTATGGAATAATACATCCATAGACTTCACAAACTCAAAAGGGTTTTGACTCTCTTCCCCTTGCCATGACAGATATATTAGACCTTCTTCAGGCAAGCAATATGTACTTGGGTGTCTGTACCCTCCATCCGCATCTCCTGAGACAAAATGGGCAGCTCAGTTATTGATAAGCCAGCTCTTAAGGCCTGAGCAAGAATTTACTCTTCAGGAAAGTCGCTTCATTTTCCCTTACGCTCTGTTCACACCTAGGCGTATCAAATATGCACGTTTGTCGACGCGTTTCGTGACGCGCGTTTCTACCGCGATTCACGGTTAAAAAAACGTGCGCAAAACGCGCGTTTCCGAGGGCTACTTGGCTGTATCCCAGTGGAAACGCACAACAAAAACGCTTCAAAGAAGCTCATGTACCTTTTCAGGCGTAGGCCGTTTTGTACCGCGTTCAGACGGGCTGAAATACGGCAAGGTGTGAACCATACCCATAGAAAACAATGGGATTTTCATGTTTGAGCGTTTTGTAGACTATCCAAGACCCTCTATCCCCTCAGATAGAGGGTCTTGGATAGTCAAGCTTAAGCTGCAAACCATCTTATTGCTACCATTTCCCAGGCAGGATAATCTTACATCTCTCTCCCAGCATCATCCAAAGGATGGAAGATCCTTCCATCTAAATAGGACATCAATGTTGCCAATATTCAAGAATAAAGTTTTGTTTCAGATCATGCCTTAAATGCGATTTCTATGTTGAGAAAGTACATTGAGGTCACCTTCTTTCAGGTCAATCTGTTTATCTTTCTGGTGGTATCATAAAGGGGCTCTCTGCATCCACTAGAGCACATGCATTGTTGCTGGATCAAGCAGATGGTGCCACATATCAATCTCTGGGTTCACTCTACTAAAGGATGTCATCCTTATGGACAGATTTAGTGGTGTATCTCCAGAGTTATACTGGAAGGCAGTAACCTGGTATATGTTCCTGTCCCATTACAGGGTCGATCCAGTAGTCTTGTCCATGGTGAAGTTTGGTTCTGAATGTGTTTAACAATTGTGAAATATATATTGTGAAAATAAATATCTCAACGGCCCTTGTTTTTGCTTGCTATGTCCCATTCGTATGCTGCCATGTTGGTGTCAGGAAAACGGAAAATTGCATACTTACTGTCACGGGAGCCACGTACCTGAGGTGAGACCGAAGTAGTGGGGAGGCCTCCCTTGCAGTCTCTGGAGATCGAGACAGAGACTTGGTGGACACCGAGTGGCACGGGTGCCAGGGGTGCGGAGCACCGTGCAAGCCTTAGTCCGAGATCCTAGCCGAGGTCCACTCTGGCAACGAAGTACACAAGGGTTAATCAGAAGAATGGTCGAGATCCAAGCCGGGGTCGGTTCCAATCTGGCAGCTGAGTACAAAAGGGGCAAAGAAGTAGAATGGTCAAGGTACAAATCCGAGGTCAATGGCAGGCAATCAAGAGTAGTCAAAGAGGTTTCCAGGTCACAACAAGTTCAGACAGATCACACACTAGCATAGGAACAAGGGGGGACTGAAGATAATCCAGCAATTTGGCAGTGTCTGGGCTTGGCTTATATAGGGAAGTGATGATTGAAGTTTGAGGTCACTTCCTGGGCATTTTTCCATCAGGTTGAGGTCACTTCCTGTGCGCCTCCTGGGCATTTTCCTGCCTTTTTCCATCAGGTCTTCTGCGCATGCGCGGGTTGGTGCACTGACGTGTCTTTGAGGCATGCGCAGTTGGCGCGGATTTTCTCTTGCGGCAACGCTCCATTGGCGCATGCGTAGTAAGCCATGGACTCTTACACTTACCTATCAGTAATTTTCCTTTTCTGACGCCAATTCATGGCAGCATACGGGACCCTCCCATGGCTTTCGCATTGAGTACTTGTTACAAAAATGGTGGCCTTGGGAGGCGTGCTTTTTAATTTATAGTATAACTGGTCCTGTGATTGGGTGAGAGGCGGAGCTAAACCCATTCGTATGCTGCCATGTATTGGCGTCAGGAAAGGAAAATTACCAGTAGGTAAGTATACAATTTTCTGTTATATATATATATATAATGTGTGTTTGTACTTTTAGGTGAACACCCTAATGCAATAGGTTGTGCCCGTCTATGGTCCTAGTTTATTTATTTTGTCTTCAGAAGAGATTGTGCTTTTCTCAGTATGAAGTTTGCATGCAGACAAATGCTGTTAATTGATTTCTAGTCTGTATGATGACCAGAGTCATCCAGACATTTCTTCCTCAGTCTAGCTGTCAGAAACATTCCACCTGTAGTTCTCTGAACTGCAGGGAGAGCTGTCATGCTGCTGATGTAATATGTGGGTATTCCTCACACAGGTCTCAAATCTGAACAATAGACAGCAGACTGCATGGAAGAATTGCTTTTCTCTCTGTGTGAGAGCAGCATTGTACATAAAATAGTTGGACATGTCACCCTGCCCTGTCAGCATTTCATTACACCAAACAGCCAGGCATGCTCTTTTCTTTGGATATGCGGCATGTAAAACAAAATACTGAAGTCACTATGGCTTATACTATACATTTCATGCACTGTTTATCAAGACAGTTATATCTTTGTATATATTTTCATTACTAATTAATCTCTATTTTTCAGGGATTATCATTTTGAATATTTGGAATTTAGACTATGGATTGGACTTTGGGTAGCATTCTACTGCCTTATATTAGTGGCCACCAACTCTGCGTACTTGGTGCAGTATTTCACTCGATTTACAGAAGAGAGCTTTTGTGCACTGATAAGCTGTATTTTCATTTATGATGCTATAAAGAAGATGTTGAACTTGGCTGATCAGTTTCCTATTAACTGGAAATACAGTGTAAATGATGTAACCCATTACAGCTGTAAATGTATTGTAAATGGCACAGGTAAAAACAAATGTTTATCATAATAATACTTTCTTTGTTTTTGGAGTGTGAAATAGATAAAGAATGAGTGCTATTTAGACATGTTCTGGGGAGGTTTATTTAAGAGTACCTTCCATAGACAGACTATACCACCTACCCTGTTGGGTAACAGGACACCTCAGCTTTTGTAATTGAAAGGGATCATAGAGTTTCCTCTCATAAGGGTATTCCTGGAAGAGAGAGCTCTCCTCCTGAGAAACTGTTTATTTTTATCTTTAACATGATATAGCCTAAAAGGTTGATAAGATAACAACAGTTGTTACACACAGGCACCGTGCACATATGCTAATCTTTAAATCAATTAGTGTCCCTTTGGGGCCTTCTTGAATCTTAGCCCCAGGCTGTACATTGGACCTCATTTTATGAACAAGTATGGATAAAGCTGTGCCCACTATGTGTAAAGGTCAGGTTTGTGCTAAGTCCTGAAGAAGCCGCTGCTGGGGCACCCTTTACCTTTTAAGGACACTTTATATGTGTGTGCTGGTACTTGGGTGCCTCCAGGACTGTGCTGGATAACAGAGTTTAAGTAGAGTCAAACTATGAACTGTGGAGTTGTTGAAGTGAGAGCATAAAGACTGTTGCCAAGAATGCCCAGATCTGATCATCTAAGCCAAAAGGTCGTGCAAGGGTGTAGTCAAAATGACAAAGTCTAAGTCAGGACAGACTGCATTCTAGCACGGTCAGGTCAAGCAAGTGATTAGATGCAAGGAGAGCAATGGGCAGACTGAGAACAGACGGAAAGCAGGAGTCAAACTTTGACACAGAGCCAAGAATACAGGAACAGGAACTTCACAATGACTTAAGAAATGGGAACACTCTGGAGATAGGATTGCAAAAGCAACATGTAATGAAAAAAGGATCTGGAAGCAGTAAGAGCAAAAGTTGGCACCAATACCAAGGAGGACAGAAAGAACCACAACAGAAACAGAATCACTAACAAGAGGGTACAGCGAACAGCCCACAGGTAGTTTCCTCACACTATGCTGTTAAGTTCCAACCCTGCCCTTCAAATGTCAATGGGTAGTAAAGGCTCTTGCATTTGACAACTTTATGACAGCAGCTAAGGTTTAGAGCCAGGAAGGGACAGAACGTAAAATAATTTGAACAGCTGTCAAGGCCTCTATGTAAAACCTAGTCCTAGGATGCAAGGTGGACATGGAGATACATGCCTAGGATGCTCAGGGACAAAAGAATATTTTTTTGTACAATAACACATGTACTTGTAGGAACCACAAAATGTTTGGTAATCTTTGTTCCCATTCAGAGTGGTTGATTCAGTCAGGATCAGAGTAACACCTTACAGACTAAAAACTGGTCACTCTTTATAACATGTTGTGACACCAGACATCTAACTGAACAGAAATGGATGTAAGAGGTATTATTATTATTATTATTCAGGATTTATATAGTGCCAACAGTTTGCGCAGCTCTTTACAATATAGGGATGACATTACAGTTACAAGTCAAGACAAGATGGTAAGAAGGTATTATCCTGACACTTATCTTAAATTTAGATAATTTTTCAATAATGTTTAATAAGAAGTGTGTCTCTTCTACTATGAAAGCTCTTTCCCTGCCTGCTAGAAATGTATTGCTAATTGTACAGACAGACACACCTGAGCAGCTCAGTGTATAATCTTGCCTAAGCACAGAAAAGAAGACTCTGGGCCCAAAATAAGACTGAGAAAACATGGTAGCAGTGATAGTGGAGTGAGAAAGTGGAGCACAGATGTCATATTGCTAGAGGAGGACACTTCACGAGGGAAGTCTGCCACGGGGCGGACTGACCAATCGGGCAGTCGGGCACTGCCAGAGGGCCCGTGGCCCCTGCCCCCTGATTACAATTCCCTTTACTTACTGGCCTGTCTGTAGAGCCCCCCCCCCCCGCATGGCCTGCTGGGATCTGTAGTCCTAGCATTCTGGGCCGAGCTGAAGTGATTGACATGGGCAGGTTATGAAAGCGGGACACCGGGACTGCTGTGTTCTAGTAGAATATCGTAGAGAAATTCCAGGCCGCAGAGAGGAAGGTGCAGAGAGGTGGGGTGCAGAGAGGTGAGGGGCAGTATCCCATGCACACAACCAAGGTCTACTGCCAGCGCAGAGATGGGGGCCCGTCGAGGAGGGATAGCTCTATCTGTCCCCAAAATATTTTATAAAATTCATTTCAGTACAGCGTTGCATGACGGAATAAACATCAGTCAAAGTATCGCAGCGCTGAATACTGAAAAATGGCCTGGCCAGGAAGGGGGTCTAAACAGTCTTGAAGTGGTTAAAGTATTGTGTAGTCCTCTGTAGCCTATGCCATTTTGCATTGCTGTAAAAAAGGATCCACCTGTACCACACAGCTCCTCCTCCCCACAACTGACTACTACACTCTGCGTTACAACTGACCTCTGCCATTCAGCAATTTAATATTTCAAATTGATTCGGCTGTGTTAGGTCCCGTGCAGCAGCCTTCGGGGGAACCACATGGCATCTGCTTACAGTGCTTCTGCCGCCCCCACATCTTCCCCTCGTTAGAGCTTATGCCCACCTCCTGGGAACCTCCGCACCCCTCCTGAGGCCCTCTGCCCGAGACATCAGGCTTTTATTATTTTTTACTTTTTTTTCTTCACTTAACTTTATTGCTATTACACAGGAGCTAACAAGCCCATGTGTGATGGCATTCAGAGGTGACAGGTTCTCTTTATGAGCCTGCCCTCCAGTACAGACTCTGGACTCAGGACATAGGAACGCTCTGGACTTAGGAGCGCACTGGACTCTGGACATAGGAACACAATTGACTCTGGATATAGGAACGCACTGGACTCTGGACTTGGGGCTGGTTCACACCACAAAGTCTGCGTTCCAGAACGTTAGGCCTTTGGAATGAACTGGAACAACGTGCTTGCATTTTTGCAGATCGCACTGGACTGGAACGCAGGCACTAATGTGCCTATATTCCGGGTGCGGGCAATCGCACTGCGGGCGGGGGGCGTGGATGCTGTGCCATTGACTTCAATGCACCGCTACGCCCCCTCCCGCCCCTGAACGCAGGGAGCCGACCGGCTTGCATTCCAGTGCAGGATTGATGTTCCACCACGGCACTGAAAAAAAATTATGCAGGACCTATTTCTGGCAGTGTCAGCATGGTACTGATTGCATTGCTGTGAACCTACTCCTAATTCTGTCAGTATTGTACCAATTCTGTCTGGACATATTGCTGGCTGTGTCAGAATGGTAATGATTGTGTCTCTGTGTTTGTGGCAGTATGGTCTATGTTTCTGTATACATGTTTGTGCTTGCCTAAGTATAGTACTGATTGTGACTTTGCTGACATATTTCTGTTTTTTTCAGTAGAGTACTGATTGTTTCTCTGTGGGCGTCTTACTAGCTGTGTCTGTACAGTACCAATTGCATTTCTTGGGACATGTTTCTTGTCTGTCGGGTTGGCTCTGGTTTTGTCCATATGGTATTGTGTCTCTGCAGAAATGTTTATGGCTGCGTCAGTACAAAACCAATTGCATCTCTGAGGACAAGTTTCCTGGCAAGTCAGTAAAGTACTAACACTGTGTCTGCAGAAATGTTTCTATTTGTGTCAGAACAGTAAATATTGTTTCTCTGTGGACATCACAACATGAGGTTGAACGAGAAGTGGTTTAATCTAAGAATGCATAGAAGTTTTTTACTGTAAGTGCAGTAAAAATGTTGAATTCCATACTGCAGATAGTGGTATCAACTGGAAGCATTGATAAATTCAAGAAACACTTGGACTAGTTTTTAAGTACACAGAATCTAAAGGGATATGGGAACTATTAGTGGCATGTGTACACACATACACACAGGTTGAACTGGATGGACCTATTCATCTCTACCAACTATGTTACTATTTCATGTTTGTGCTTGATTCAGTATGGTACTGATTGTGTCTTTGACATGTTTATGTTTTTTTGTCAATGTAGTACATATTGTGTCTCTGTGGACCTGTTTCTAGCTGTTCTAGTACAGTGCTGATTGTGTTTCTGGGGTCATATTATTGTGGACCTGTTTCTGGTTTTGTCAGTATAGTCTCACTCTGCCTATGCAAATATAATTGTCTGTGTCTCAATATAGCACTGATTGGGTCTTTGCTGACATGTTGCTGGTTTTGTCAGTACTAAGGATGCACCGATATTAGTATCGATATTGGTGCCAATACCGAGTATTTGGACAAGTACTCACCCAAATGCTCCTTATACTTATCTCGGTACCGGAACTTACGGCATCAGGAAGCTGAGCGGCGAGTCATTACAAGCCGCCCAGCTTCCTGATTGGCCAGGAAGCCGGCTCCATGCTCCCTCATCACCAGGAAGCATGGAGCTGGCTTCCCGGCAAATCAGGAAGTGGGGGACGGGTAATGACTCGCCATCCAGCTTCCTTAATGGGACTTCCGGTATCAGTAATTGGTATAGGCAAGTACCGAAGAAAGAAAATCGGTACTCGATACCGAAAAACCTGCATCCCTAGTCAGTACAGTGCTGATTGTGTCTCTAGGGAAAAGTTGGGTGTGCCAATAAAGTAATAATTTTGTGTCTGGGGACATATCTTTATTTGTGTGAGAATGGTGATGATTACGTCGCTGCAGACATGTTTGTGCTTGCCTCTGTATGGCACTGATTGTGTCTCTGCTGACATGGTTCTAGTTTTGTTAGTACAGGATTGAATGTGTCGCTGTGGACATGTTATCTCTGTGAATATGTGACTGGCAATTGTGTTTATTTGGTTGTGAATAAAAATCTGAATGATCATGATCTTGCTATAATTATAATATTGCAAGTCTTGGTGAATCGGTTTTGGTGTTATATGCTGTGTGTGTTGGAAAAAAAAGAGGGTGGCACAATGTGCAGGGGAGAGGGCAGTACAAGGCACCTGGACTAGTGGACAAAAAAGTATAAATCCCAGGGTGGTAGCATACATTTTTCTTTTTTAAGCTGCGTACATTTTCTGCAATTACAGAAAAGTACATTTTGACCCTGTTAGAAATCTTGTGTCCTTGTAACTTCCTATGCACTGAGCTGAAATCTCAAACAATGGTTCCAGCTTTCTCACCTATGGTCTGTGGAATGCAAAGTAGTTACCGGCTATGTAATGTAGATGAAGAGAGGGTGAACTATTTGTAGTTCAAATCAGGATAGGATTCTAGGGTTACAACACTACTCCTCCATTTATAAAGTGCAGTAAGTGAGCGTTGCCACCCTAGGACAGGGCATGTGAATCTCAGGTTGAAAATAAAGGGGGAAAAAAGCCTGAAAAGAGAAAATTGATCCATCCATCACCTTTAAGGGTTGGTAAGCTACAATATATTACATTTTCTTTTGTGTTTAGATAAGCTTTAAATACTACTAAGGGACAATTGCACATATATCAAATGCCTTTATTATAAATTAAATAATTTTGGAATAGGTATTAAAATTATTTTTAAATAAATAGGCTTTATTTATAATTATTTGTTTCTGCTTCATATTAGGAAATTGGTCTTTATGGAATTTAACATCCTATGACTCCTTTTTTCCGGAGGTATGTTTTACCTTTTTATTTTTAATTGTAACCAATATTTTTCCATGTTTTAATGCATTATGAGCTTTTCTTTAATCACTGCAATGTTTAATGGATAGCAAAAATAAATAAATAACAAGTATTCAGAAGAAATGGAAGGGACATGAACATACTTGTATTTTGTGACAAGATATTGCAATATTTAGAATTTTCTTTAAACCTTCCACAGCCAGGGTTCATTCAAATAGGCCCAGGCTAGACTTTACAGTTTCTGTATGTACTGATTAACTGCAAAATAACTGAAATAAGCAAAATACATTTTACATATTTTTAGGGACATTTTTACATTTCTAGTGACAAAATGTAAACAGACTTATGAAAAACCTTGTTTACAGGCCACTACAGCCTTGCCATAATATTTGTGTCAGAGGCAGTAAAAGGGTTAAAAGTCTGATGAGAGTTTAATATATATAATCATATATATATTTTTTATTCTTTGCCCCACTTTTTCTCTATGATTAAGCTGTGGTTGGGTTCAAAATGCAGCAGAGGGAGATGATGGATCCAGGAGGTAGCTGGGACCTGTGCCTGGAGTGAACCTGTGAGCAATATTGTTGATCAGAGAGTGAATATAGATGCCATTATCACGTAAACCATATTATAATATGCGTATTGCGCTATAATAATTTAAATTATTTTTCAATTGAGTGTAGAAACATATAAAAGGCATATTGAACACCAGTGCTGTAAGAGCTTTGTCTCTTTATTTACAGACCTCTCTCTCAAAAAAAAAAAAAAAATAATCTACAGACAGCATTTCATTAGTAAAATCTTATTATATATTTGATACTGGGGTGGATTTTTTTTTTAAACAACCCCCGTGCTCATCTATATGTTAAAATTATTTGCAGTAATGTGCCCTTCCCCTTCCCGGTACACCACTGGCTCATAGTAATACCAGCCCTTATCCCTAGTGTGCCAAACTGGTATTTTGGGGAGAAGGGAATACATTTGTTTTGCTTAATCAGTATTTTATGTTTTGGTTATTTTTTTATAAGTTTCTCAAGAAATCATTTAGAGTGTTCTTAAGAGTTGTATTTTTTTGGGATTAAGAAAACACAGACTTTGCAGCTGATGCTGTGGCTTAGAAATATTTATGATTATTTATAACTGCTAATTTTTTTCTAACTTTTCAACTTTTTTTTTCTTTTAGAATAAGGAACCTGAAAACTTTACACAAAATCAGTGCATGGAGCTGGGAGGATTTATAGAGGGCAACAGCTGCAACTATGTGCCAGATGTTTTTCTTATGTCTGTCATCCTATTTTTTGGTACATTTTTGTGTACAACTTCACTAAAAAGCTTCCAAAGAAGCAGATATTTATCTTCAGCGGTATGTAATAAAGCAGATTATAACTGAAGTAAATACAAATTGTTTAAAAGCATATAGAGAATTATTTCTAGCTGTGGACACAATACTATAGTGTATTGTGTTGCAGCAAACCACCCATCTTTTACAGTGGGAAATGGTTCCCAAACCTGTAACAGTTTGAAAGATTTTTCTACTCAGATGCCTTATGGGTGCCATTGGTGATGCATTTGGTAGAGGGTGGATAATTGGATCGGTTCCTGATGCAGCTTGGTAGAAGTAAAGGTTGATTATGAAGCATGAGCTAGAAAGAAATCATACATGGCAAAAGGGCCTCATTTTCAGCTTTTGTACCTGGAATTGTCACTATGACATAAACCTTTCTCTGTTTGAGTTGATCATTTAGTGCCTATAATTTATTAAATAATTTTTGGCTATTTCTCTTGTGAGTTCACATGAGTAAATGGACATTTGCACACTCATCAAGATACTACCCCCACATAGCCCATCCCTGTTGTTTTTATTTTTTTTTGTTTTATACACTCAACTCCAATCATGTCAGTGTGCACTTCATGCAGTATCATTCCTACATGAAAAAGATGTAAGAAAGCCCCAAAGCATTTAAGAAAATCTCGTTTTTGTTTCATGTATGCCACCACATAGCTTCTATATGTTCAGATTCTGGAATTTGCATTTAGATAGTTAGTGACTAAGTAAGTGAATTAGCTGCATGTATGCTGTAACAGTTGTGCGCTTCTCCACATGCATTGTACACATACAGAAGATTCTGTGAGAATACAGCATGATTGGGTTGTTCCACCTCCTTTGTAGGCAAGGTGGTGCGATGGTATGTCCAAATATGCTTATTTAACCACTTAAAGACCAGGGTGTTAAACCCCCTTCCTGGCCAGGCCATTTTTCAGTATTCAGCGCTGCGGTACAAAACAATTTTGAAACAAAAAAACTGTTTCCCTATGAAATGTTATGAAAGATTTATCATTACCCCATTTTTTGGTTAAATATAGAAGGGGTTAATAGACAACAAACATGTCAAACCTTAAAATTGCAAGCGCCCGTGAAATCGCTGAAAATGACACACCCAAAATTGGCCATGGGCGACGCTATAAAAGCTTTTACCGCTCATCAGTTTAGTGTTATCAGTGATTAATGGCCCTAAAATTATTGTTCACACTCCAACGTTCACGGCGATGTGTAACATGTGCGGCACAATAGGCGGAATAATCGCTTTCGCACGCAGGCGCACCAGACACATGTTTGCGTGTGTATGTGGGGGGACTTTGAAAAAAAAATTATTTTACATTAAAAGTTATTTTACATTTTTGTTATGTGTGACTATTTTTTTAGCTTCTTAATTTTTTTTTTACACTTAACTTTATTGCTATTACATAGGGGCCTCCTCCTATGTGATAGCCAATTCACATAACAGGTCCTCACTCGTGTACGCGCTGAGCGACGCACACGAGCGGGGGGAGGGGAAGGACATCTTAAGACGCCCACCCGCTGCTATAAGGCTCCCGTCCGGCTGTTCAGGAAAGGCCATTAAAGGTGGCTAAATTAGGCTCAATATTTCAAAGACACCCATCCGGAAAAGAAGTGTACATGATGAAATTCGTTGAAACAAAAAACTAAGGGTTATTCACTTACCTGCTGAAGGATCTAGCCGTAGCTTCGGCTGATACTTTGGCTCACTTCGGCCGCCGGAGCCCCTCTGTTCAGTCGAACCACAGGGCTGCTGTACGTGCTATTCACAATAGCCCATACAGCATCCTAAGGCAGCCGAGTGGTTTTGCTGAGCCGAATGCATATGCTTTAGAACAGCTGGGCGGAGCCAGCCACGATGTCTCAGGTTATTTGAGGACACAGGGCTGTCATTAAATGACATCAATTGGGAGGAGCCAGCCATAACATCACTGCTGGCTCCGCCCATTTGTTTTTATTTGTCCTGGACCTGCGGGCAGACAGGTGATGTCAGCGCTAGCTCCGCCCAGTTGTTTATATTTTGCCAGCATCGGTCAGAATGTCATACTGCAGCGGGAGTTCGTCTCATGCGGACAGTTCAGTTGGCTTTTTTTAATTATTATTATATTTTTTCTTTTTATTTCGCCGATTCGTCATCGTCGTGGACAATGCTGGATGTCATGATTGACCCTGGATTATGTCGTTGGATCAATTTTTGAGATTTTTAATAAAGGACTTGTAAAAATCCTTTGTTGCTTTTTTTTGTGAATCAATTAAAGGATTTTTTTTCTAAAAGTCTGGTCTCTTTATTTATATTTTATTTAACCCTTTAGTGAATGGGTAGGGATATAAGTACCCCTTACTCATTCACAAGAAGGGGTGCCGCATCTGGATGCTCCTTTATTAAAGGGGTACCCTGATATGAATAAGTCCCCCAGCTCGCACACCCACAACCAAATGGGAAAAGAAATGTGGGGTCCCCCTAAAATTCCTACCAGATCCTTGATCTGAGCACAGACCCGGCAGGTCAGGAGAAGGGTGTGGGGAAGATCGAGTGCTCCCTCCATCCCTGCGCCATACCAGGCTACGTGCCCTTGGCATTGAGAGGGTGTCCCCATGCCGACAGGGACAAGGGCCTCTTCCCCACAACCCTGACCCGGTGGACTGCAGGCCGGGGGGCTTATTTGCATCTAATTAAGGGAGCACCCAGATACCGTTGCACCCCATTTTAAATGAGTAAGGGGTACTTGTACCCCTACTCGTTCATGAAAGGGTTAAAAGTAAATAAACACACCACACATTTTAAAAAAGTCCTTTAATTGAAAAAAACAAACAAAAAGTCAGTTTCTGACAATGCCTTTATTTTAAAAAAATGGATCGCTCGATGTAATCCAGCGTCAATCACGATGAACGACGCCCACCAACTCGCCAAAATAAAAATTCGGAATTGTCAAAAACTGACTGTTTTTTCTTTTCAATTAAAGTACGTTTTCAAAATGTGTGGTTTCTTTATTTACATTTACTTGTAACCCTTTAGTGACCCTTTAGTGAATGACCCTTACAAGCGACCCTTACTCATTCAAAAGGGGGGCTGCATCTGGGTGCCCCCTTAATTAAAGGGGTACCTGATGCAAATAAGCCCCCCTGCCTGCAGACCCCACAACCGAGGACTCATGGTCTTTCTATGGCGCAGAGAGGGGGGGTGCTCGATCGCCCCTCCCCCCCTTTCCTACCCTGCCGAGCCTGTGCTCGGATCAAGGGTCTAGTAGGAATTTTAGGGGGGGGGCCCACTTTTTCCCCCCTGCCGGTTTTTGGGGGTGAGGTTCCTCTTCAAAATCCCTACCATATTTAAAGGGCCTGTTAAGACTTTTGGGGCAAACCCCAAACACCTTTTTTATTTTTAACTTGGGGGGTCCCTCCTAACATTCCCACCAGACCTAAAGGATCTGGCATCATTGGGGGGAACATCAGGCTTTTTTTTTCTTTTGTCTAATGTCACTTTGCTGCAACGAAAATTCATTCGTAATGAAAATTCGTACATGCTACCGCTACGAAAATGTGGATTTATTTCTTTTTTTTAAAGTTGATGCTTAACACAATAAAACTTCGTTCGGGAAAAAAATTTGGATGCATACAAAATTTTCCTTATCGGAAATTCGTAATGATTTGCATTTATTATTTCTGTCATTCGGAAATTTGTATGCATCCGAATGTATGAATTTCCAAAAATGTGCCGAATAATGAATCTTTTCAAAATAAATCCCATATGTCTAGGTATTATCAGTAGGCTGCAGGAGCATGACTGTCATGGCCATCATTACATTACAAGACTATTTTTGCCCCCAGAGTTCTACTTTAACCAGTTGAAGTCCGCGGTGTTAAACCCCCTTCCCATCCAGGCCATTTTTCAGTATTCAGCGCTGCAGTACTTTGACTGACATTTATTCCGTCATGCAACGCTGTACTGAAATGAATTTGATACCATTTTTTAGGGACAGATAGAGCTTTCTTTTGGTGGTATGTACCTCGGCTTATATTCGGGTCAATACTTTTTCCCAGTTTTTTTGGCTAAAATAAGGTACCTCGGCTTATATTCGGGACGGCTTATACTCGAGTATATACGGTAATCACCACTGTGGTTTTTATTTTTTACTATATTAAGGAAAAATTACAGAAATGTTAAAAAAAAACAGTTTCCCCTATATTAAATGATAAAACATTTATTATTACCAAATTTTTTGGTAAAATATAAAAGACGGGGTCACGTCGGGTAGAAAGACACCAAACATGTCAAGCCTTAAAATTGCATGCGCACGCGAAACCTCAAAAAACAATAATACCCAAAATTGGCCATAGGTGACGCTTTAAAAACTTTTACCGCTCATCAGTTTAGTGTTATCAGTGATTGATGGCCCTAAAATGATTGCTCTCACTGCGACGTTCGCGGCGATATGTAACGTGTGTAGCGTAATTGTCGTTTACGCGCGCTAGTGCACCGGACGCATATTTGCGTTTATACGTGCGTAAACGTGGGGGTGAGGGACTTAAACATTTTGGGGGGGTTTTTTAAACTTTTTTTTATATGTGACTTTTATTTTTTGTAACTTTTTTTATTTATATTTTTTTTTACACTTATTGTTATTGCTATTACATAGGGGGATAACAATCCCCCTATATAATAGCACAGGTACACTGGCAGGTCCTCTTTATGGAGACATTAGGGGTCTCTAGGACCCCTAATTTCACCTGGGGACCCCAAAAGAAGCTGATGAAGCAGAGATCTGCTTCATCAGCTTCTTTTCTCTGGCTATAGCAGCCAGATGACTGACAGGTGAATGCTGAAGTGATGTAATACACATCACTTCTGCATTCACCGCACAGAAAGGAGCTGATCTCCCTCCCTCTTCCTCCTGACGCTCTCCCGAGCCGGTCCCGGGCCGCAGATGGGGCAGTGTGTCCCGGGATTGAAGGTGAGGGGTTAGGAGGGGGGGCGGCGGCAGCAGTCGAGGGTGGCACGCAGCCAGCAGATATACACGATCGGCAGGCTATAGAGCTGCTGATCGTGTATATGTTAAACAGCCGGTAACGGCTCTATGCATTGCACTGGTTTTTTCTGCCCGTGCGTAGGGACGCACGCAGAAAAAAAATGCCGTGTTGAGATGGCAACCCGCCAATGCAGCTGTGCTGTCCGTCCGTTTTTTTTCAACGGCGGACGGCAACTGGTTAAGCTATGTATTAATATAAAAGGGGAATGCTTTGTTTATAGATGAGGGGTCTGATTTTTTTTAAGTATGTTGTATATTGATCCACCAATAGTCTGACATGAGCTTCTCAGCTTTTTTTAAACTTACTTTTCCAACAGTCACTTTTCTCAAGTCATTTACTTTATTTTGGTCACAGCTGCTCCAATAAGCAAGCTAACATCTTCAAGGCACTGGAATGTTCACCCACTGTGAGTGTGTATAGGTGAAAAAAAATGAATAACTGAGTGTGCTGAGCTACAACAATGAGCAAAATAAAAAATAAAAGAATGTGACTCAGGCAAATGTCAGTGAATAATTAGTAAATTGATTAGCTGTGAAGTCTGTAAATGTTCATAACGCTGAAGATATGTCCATATATAAACAGCAATAGTGATGAATATTTCTTGTTCCATCACCAAATGCACCATGTGCACCACACCAGATATAGAAGTGCTCACCTTATTGATAGACCCCATCAAAAGGTCAAATCAGGCAATTCCCTTCTTAACCAGGGGAGGGGGCCCTTGACTCCAATCGCTCACAGATGTCCTCCAATAATGTAATCAAACCAGCAGACAGATCTCACTTCTTTAGTGAGGAAACTATAACCTCAGATCTTTAACGCACTGTAGGCCTCCTCAGTATAGGTTGTCAATACCAGGATCATGTTATCCAAAAAGAGAAAGCAAACACCATAGCGCGTACCATCCAAACACAGTATGTTTTATTAAAAGAAAATGACTCATATAAAATCAGTGGTAACACAGCATGGAATCTCTCTTAGGAGTGTATGCAGGAGTTTCAAATGACCGCGGCCGACGGCCGTAATGACCAATGTGACATCAGCTGCTCTGCCCTATGCACATTAGATCTAGCATGACTTCATCGGGGATCAGGAGCATCCAACATTCTGGGTCACATCTATAATCGGGAAACACTCCCACTTACCACCATTCACTGAATAGACCAGACTGCCCATCTCAAGAATGGGAACAGTCAGCGTCTATCGTATTCACTCTAAAACATTGCGATATAAAATATATCCCCATAAGAGAAAAACATGAATAAATAGATTAATAAAATAGATGGAGAAAAAATACATTCAAATATGCAGTAAACTGTAGAAATGTACATGTCATAGCCCCGTGGGGGGAAGGGGAAGAGAGCACCCCACTGAAATTATGGCAGATGCAAAGAAGTTAATGCTTCCCTTGCTATCTGCTGTTTTTTTTTAGTATTCTGACAGCTCCTGCCATCAGAATAAGTAAATAAAAAAAACAGCATAGGAATGAAGAGCTAGATTGCTATTGGCTATTTCAATTAGCCAATAGAAGGCCGGCTATTACACCTGCCCTCTGCTGCTGTCAATCAGCAGAGGAGGACCTGTGTGGCCAAGATCATTGTCAGGGGAAACAAGAGCATCCAAGCCAAAGAGTTGAGCAGGGACAACAACAATAACAACTACTAAGTAAGGGCATAAGGCGTTCTAGTAAGGTCGGTCCAAAAAAGGAATCAAATTGACAGGTTAGAGGTAGTAATAACAGAATCAGGAATATAAAAATACATTTAAAGATGTATTATGAAGACAAAGTTGCATTGATTTGTGCACTGTATGTCTGCCTGGAGTATAGCTTTATTTGCAGTGTATAATGTTTACATTTTTTTTAGAGCATGTGATTGTTTATTCTGTTATCTTTTTTCCACAGGTACGCAAACTGACTGGAGATTTTTCAGTGATACTAACAATTATCATTTTTTGTGCTGTGGATATTATTTGTGGTCTGGGAACTCCCAAACTTATAGTTCCAAGTGAATTTAAGGTAAGAAGGCAGCATTTTATTAAAGATTGTTTATTATGAACTTAAAGTGTATTCCCACTTGTTGCTTATTATTTTACTTGCTCTATTCTGAAAACTCCATAACAGAAATGTTTTCATTCTCTGTAATTTCAAGAAGGGGTTGGAGGGGGATGAGGAGTTAATACTTTTCATAATTAACCCTGTCTGCTCTGTGCTGGCCTACGTAATGCCCACATGTGATACTGAGCCTCTATAAGGGGCCAGCAGGGTGCTGTATATACAAGTGGACTAACTTTGGATAGAAGTTATGCAAATATAAAAATGCCTTGATGTCAGTCTGGAGGAGTGGGTGTATCAAGGCAGGTTGCACTTGCATGCAGACTATCCTAGGTAATGCCCACATATGATGCTGAGCCTCCATGAGGGAGGAAAGAGCTATATGATGCAGGATGGCCTCCAGCCAGGAAATTAAGCAGGCTTTATCTGACGAGCTGAAGCTTCTAATGCACACTGTTAAAAGCTCATAAAGTAAGCTTTTAACAGTGTGGTTAGGACAGTAAGTCAGGATAAGCATTTTCAGTACAGGAGAGGAGCCTGCACAGCTATACTGAGAACTTTCTCCTTCAGGTCCTCCTCTGCTGATTGACGGCAGGCAGTGGGCGGGTACAAAAGCCAGCCTGCTATTGGCTATTGCGAAGAGGTCAGTAATGTGATGCAGTGTGGAGGCTATTGTTTCCAGCCACTGTGGATCAATCAGCAGAGGAGCAGAGCAGAAGGAAAACTTTCTCCTTCAGCTTCACTCATCTGCTGATTGACAGCAGGCAGTAAACAGGTTTAATAGCCAGCCTGCTATTGGCTTTTGCAGTTTGAAATAGTCAATAGCAGGCTGGCTATTCCACTGCCCACTACCTGCTGTTTACATTTAGCTGCAGGCTCCAAAATTCTGCCGCCGGCAGATGGAATCGGACAGGGGCCAAGGCAGGGGCGGATCCAGAGTCTAGTCTCGGGAGAGGCACTGCCAAAAAATAAGCCCCCCCCCCATCTGGCTCTTTCACTGCTACTGTGCCACCCCTTTCCTCTCTCACCGCCTATGTGTCCACTGCCCCCCCCCCAGCTCTCCCCCTCTCCCACCGGTGTACAACGCACTCCCCTGGCTTCTCCTTCTGGGATCTTGCCGCCGCTGTCAGCCTTGGGCGGTCTGCACTCACACAAATTAGGCAGCTGCAAAGCCCCGGCATGGGCTGAGACGGCTGCCCAATTTGCCTGACCCTCTGCTTTGGGTTCTTTGCTGACTGTTCGATGCGGCCGGCCAGGCCCAGCAGAGCGGCGGAGGGTGGGAGCGATAATAATAAACTCAGAGTGTGGAGGTGAGTAATGTGATGCAGTGCAGAGGTCAGTAATGTGACGCAGTGCGGAGGTCAGTAAGGTGACGCAAGGCGCAGAGGTCAGTAAGGTGACGCAGTGTGGAGGTCAGTAAGGTGACGCAGTGGGGAGGTCAGTAAGGTGACGCAGTGGGGAGGTCAGTAAGGTGACGCAGTGGGGAGGTCAGGAAGGTGACGCAGTGCGGAGGTCAGTAAGGTGACGCAGTGCGGAGGTCAGTAAGATGGCGCAGTGCGGAGGTCAGTAAGATGGCGCAGTGCGGAGGTCAGTAAGGTGACGCAGTGCGGAGGTCAGTAAGGTGACGCAGTGCGGATGTCAGTAATGTGACGCAGTGCAGGGGTCAGTAATGTGATGCAGTGTGGAGCTCAGTAATGTGATGCAGGGCGCGGAATCCAGTAGTGTGACGCAGTGCATAGGTCAGTAATGTGGCGCAGTGCGGAGCTCAGTAATGTGACGCAGGGCGGAGGTCAGTAAGGTGACGCAGCGCGGAGCTCAGTAAAGTGACGCAGCGCGGAGGTCAGTAATGTGACGCAGCGCGGAGGTCAGGAAGGTGACGCAGCGCGGAGGTCAGGAAGGTGACGCAACGCGGGGGTCAGTAAGGTGACCCAGCGCTGAGGTCAGTAAGGTGACGCAGCGCGGAGGTCAGTAAGGTGACGCAGCGCGGAGGTCAGTAAGGTGACGCAGCGCGGAGGTCAGTAAGGTGACGCAGCGCTGAGGTCAGTAAGGTGACGCAGCGCGGAGGTCAGGAAGGTGACGCAGTGCGGAGGTCAGTAAGGTGACGCAGTGCGGAGGTCAGTAAGGTGACGCAGTGCGGAGGTCAGTAA